GGCCGGGCTGATGAATTCCCCAGCCCTCGCCAGGCTGGGTTATAAAGGTTCACAATTCCCTTCTCTACTCCTGGGAGGTGGGTACGGGGCTCTCCGTGATGGAGGGCACGTCTGGCTGTGTGAAACCAGGTACTGATGGCGCTTTGGGAGGGAGAGAAGCGGTGAATCTGCGAGCCCAGCATCTCCCGGGCTGGTGCAGACCCCGAACTGGCGGCTGCGATCTCCTCGCTGCCCGTGGCCCTCGGGGACGGTAACTCTGCAGTGCCAAGGGAACCCCTTACAAGCGGGACCCCTCCCCGCGGTCCTGGTGTGGGGGCCTGGCCCTGCGTGGCTCCTCTGCCCCCACGATTGCTCCTTTGGGGTGACACGCGGCCCTCCACCATCCCTGGGCCACCTTGTGGGGACTGTCACCCACCCCTGGCAGCGAGCAGGACCTGCCACCTCTGAGCTCACCCAGCTGGTCCTTCCCAGCCCCATCCCCCTTGTGGGGACTGTCACCCACCCCTGGCAGCGAGCAGGACCTGCCACCTCTGAGCTCACCCAGCTGGTCCTTCCCAGCCTTTTCCCATCGCTGGGTCCCTGACGGGCTCCCGGAGGCTCTGGCCGTGCTCCCCGTCCTCGGCATCGAGGGTGCGATGCCGGATCCCCGTGCCGGAGCCCTGCAGGGATCATTCCGTTGCTAAGCAGCTCCCGAGCAGCTCAGCACGGCKTGAGGAGCGAGGGCAGCACCGGGTGGGCTCGGGCATCACCCGGAGCTGCCCCTCCGGAAGCCCCGGGGGAGTGGGATACACCCAGGAGCGGTTTATTTATTTATTTATTTATTTTTTGCCATTGTCTTTCCTGTAATTAATCGAGGGGAGTAAATCCTCGTGACAGCATCCTAACGGTGTTTGGTTTGGGAAGGAGCTGCTGGAGGAAATGTCAACGTGCTGCTTAAATAAAATTGACTGAGCTGCTGCTCAGCTGCCTTTGGGATGCAGCTTTGTCAGGAGGATGACGGGGAGCTGGGAATTCAGGGGGAGTGGAATAAAGGCAGYTCTCGGCACGTTGTGGCGATTTAAAGGCAGCGGAAAAAGGAATCGGCGATCCCAAACACTCCCAGCTGCGTGGAGGGGATTGAACTGGAGGGCAGGGGAGGCATCGCTTTGCTTTTCCCGTCTCTATTCTGTCACTGTCACCTGCGGACTGTGACCATCACATTGAGCTTTAATTGTCKAATTAAATTGTCATTGACTGGGGAAGTTGTGGGGCTGCTGTTCCCTGTAAGGGTTCGGTTATGGGGCTGAAGGATGTGGCCACCCCAAGGCTGTCTCGCCCACTCTGGATCTTTCCCCAAAGCCAAATTCCCAGGACTCTGCAGCCGCGGMTCCGATCCCTGCCCGAGCTGTCGGAGGATGTGGGAGCACACACCACAGTGTCACCTGCTGCTCCCTCTGGGATTGTCCCTGTCCCTGATGTGTCCGGGTGTCCTGGAGCAGCTCCAGCCCCAGCCGCTTCCTGCCAGCCGAGCTCTGCCTCCCTCCTTCCTGCGTTCACAGGAAAGGCTGGGCCGTGGGCTGTTCCCTGAGCGCCATCCGTCGGGCAGCTTGCCCAGTTTTGCCCGAACTTTCTAAAAGGATTTGCACGTGGGATGAGACAAATGACGGGATGTCGGGATTGGAGGGACTTTGGGCGTGTGGGACCCTGCAGGGCCGGGCTGCCTTCCTGCCCCTCCCTGTCACCACCTCGCAGTGTTTCACAGCTGCTCCTGCAGATGTTTTTTGGGATATTTCCCCCCTTTTTTCCCCCTCTGTTGTAAATCCAGCAGTACCAAACCCTGCCCCGAGCCAGAGGACAGTGAGGTCCTGCTGCCTGGTCCTATAGGGTGCCATAGGGAATGGTTTGGGGTGGGCAAACTCCTTTTCCTGGGAAAGGAAAGGCCTGGATGTCGGGAGATACTCAGGGCACAGCTGGATGTGGGCTCTGTGCCAGGGTCCCTGAGATTTGCAGCCCTTCCTGGGTGCCAGGCATGGAYCAGGGCAGGATCTGATCCTGATGGATTTGGGAATTGGTTCCCCAGGAGCTGGGAGAAGTTTCCGGCCAAACTCGGTGTTTCAGGATGTTCTGAGTGCTGAGGAGATATTTCCATTCTGACTCATCCCAACTTTGGCATTTGCCCCTCACACTGCTCATCTAAGGGGTCCCAGTGTGTCCTTGTCACCCCAAAATGTGCCCCTCTTCTTGCTGGGGAGCCCTATTGGGCAATCCCATCCCTATCCCCTATTTTTTGAACCCCATCTCCTATTTTTCCATCCCCTTCTCCAGCTGTGGAGCACAAACCCGCTCCAGCACCAACCTTCAAACCCCACCATCCCACCAGAGGRGCAATTTGGATCCATTCACCTTCCAAACCTCCCATCTGGCCATGACACCCAAAAATCTCCCACTTGGCACCGGAGCAGGACTTTGGGTTGGTTGGTCGGGGTCTGGCTGCTTCTCCCTGCTCCTGGTGAGTGGATGACCCCCAAAATCCGCCTTTTTCCACCCGGATTAATGGCATCGGGCTTTGTCAATGGAAAAATTACCTCATCATTGGCACTGGCAGGTGGTGAGAGCAGCAGACTTATTCAATATTTAAGAAAGCTGCATTGCAGAGCTCAGGAGGCTGGAGGGAGAAATAGGTTGCCTGTGTCAGTGTCTGCTGCTGGAGACAATCTCTGCAGGCATCGGCTGGCGAGCRTGGAGCTCACCGGGAAAACCTCATCCATGCCCTGGGAGCCTGGAAAACACGGAATTTTCCCTTTTCTCTGTTGTGGCTGCCCCGTGCTGGGGTCTCGGTGCAGGTGTGGTGGCTCCKGTCCCGCAGCGCCGGCGCTTTGGGGCGGGATGGGCTCATTCCATGGGGATCCTGCTGCCATCCCAACCCTCCCACAGCTCCTGGAGCACATTTAGGACCTTCTGGCTGCTGACCCCGCACCTGCCAGGGTTTGGGTGCCGGAGACGGGCCCGCGAGTCGGAAGCGGAGAGAAATCCGCGGAAAGCGCTCGATCCCGCTTTATTAAGGCGCGATCAAATCCACGGGCTCCGTCGCACAGAACTAATGGAGCGGCGTGATTGGAGTCATGTGGCCCTTCCTTAAGGCCAGAAATTAAGACCTCACTGCTATTCCTGGCTCTGCCCGGGACGCGCCGCCCCGGCGCCGGCGGGAGCTGCCGGCATCCGTCGGAAAAACCTCGGTGGGATCAGACAGCTCCGAGCATCCCCGCTGACACCGGGGCAGCAGAGCCACCACCCTCCGGGCTCAGCCAAGCCCTGGAAGGCCTTGACGCCCTCCTCGGTCGGGATATTTCCATTTCATTAAGGAAACACTGCCGCATCCCATCGATTCCCGCTTGGATGGCCGCACCCCTCTGCTCGGCAGCCGGGATTTGGCAGGGGGGTGAAAAGCCACCCTAACCTGTTATTTTATTCTTTCCCATGCGCTAAAAATGCCAGAGGAAGCATTAGGGCAAGCGGGGGTAGTTGCTGGAAGTAATGCAAAGTAGATTTTCCAAATCTATTATTTATAGGCGGAGAAGAGGATTGTGTATTCCTTCAGGAGCCGTCCCCGGGCTCCGCTCCATCCGCAGCCGAGCGGAACGCTCKCGGCCTCGCTGGTGTTTGCAGAAAATTCCAGCTGGGAGAAGTTTTCCTCCCCGATCCCCAGTGCTGATGATCACCCTGTCCTGTCGGCTAGGAAAAATCAGGAATTTTCACCCCAAATGTAGGATTGGGGTGGGCATTCCTGCTCTGAGCGACCTTGGGCAAGTCYCTTATCCACCAAAAATCCACCGCTCAGTCTGTGCCCACCCCAGACCCTCTGGCTGGGCCGGGACTCTTCATTCCCAGCGGGAATTTGCTGCTGCAGTGCGGATTGTGGAGGTGGTGGCGGTGGGGGGGACTTAAATGAACAATTTGCTTCGTTAAGTGACCTTGTTAATCGGAGCCGTCTGGTTTGGCACGGGAACAGGCGCTCTGCGAACCAGCAGAGCACTAATTACCCGCGTGCTTCACTTCTCCTCCTTTTCCAAAAATACTTTTTTTGCATCCTGAAGTTTTCTGTGAAGCCAAGGTGAGCCTCGAGCTTCCACTGGCTCCTCAGGGAGTGATGACAGAACCCTGCAATACTCCAGAGTAGCTTTCCCCTGTTTTTTTGGAAAGTTGGGTCTTTGTTCCCCAATCCCTGGTAGTTTTGCAAGTTCCCGTTTTCCATCTTTTCCTCGGTATAAACTCCCAAATTTCTCTGCTGGAGTTTGGCTGGAATTGCTGTGTGCTCTGCAAAGGAGCGTTTTCCAGTTTGGGCAGAGCTCTGGTGCTGCTGGGATGCACTGGCAGCTCTGGGATGCTGATTTTGGGATCTGCTGGGATGAGGAGAACCCTTCCAGGCAGGGAGAAATCAGAGGCAGCATCATCCCATGGCAGCAGGATGGGAGGATGAATGATCCACGGGCTGGGAGCAGCTTTGTTGTCCATGCTTGGGCTCCACAGATGGTTTTAGGGCTTTTTTTGAGTTTTTTTTGGGTGTATATTTTATCTTGGCAAAAACTTCAGCAAACTAAAATGGAAAAGGAGGATTTTAAAAATTCTTTTTTTCATTTTTATTTTTAATATTTTCCTAGAGGGGATGTGATTTGGGAAAGGACAGCAAGATGTGCTGGACTTTGGATGGAGGAAATTTCCTCGTTTGTAGCCGTTTCTCTGAAATGGAGCCCCCTCTTCCTTCCCAGCTCTGATGCCTCATAATTAATGTGAGGTCAGGGATTCATTAATTACATCCAGGCTGAGCTGTGCTTCTCTCCTGGGAAGGAGGTGACTGGAGGCTCCTGGGTCCCAAAATCCAGACATTCACTCAAGTGTCATTCCTCCTCCAAACCCTCCGAAAGCCTTTCTTGGGGTGATTTTTAGGGATTTTTTTTTTGTTGCTTTTCCCCTACAGCCTGGCTGGAAGCTCCACTCTTTCCCTGACACCTTGGAGCAGAGTGATTGACGTCCCTGCTGTGCTGGATTGGTGACTGTCACCCGGACACCGCTGTCCCCAAATCCGTCGCCGGGGTGGCCGGCGATGACCGATGCGGTGCTGGGCGGCTCCTCTGACCGGTGGATGTGCCCCAGTGACAGGACCATGTCCCTCCGAGCCAGGTGAGAGTCCCCAGGGTGGGCAGTGACASRGGTTCTTCCCCTGGGGACACCAGGGATYGGTTTAGTGCCATTGCGTGGGGATATTTTTCTGTGTTTGCTCCTAAACCCCCCGAAGTTGGGGCTGTGCAGGGACCTGGAGCTGAGGAGCTCTGTCCCTCTGTCCTGTCACCCTGCGAGGTGACACCCTGGAGCACACCTCCAGCCTGGATGGGTGTGGGTTTGGTGCCTGGATGTTTGGGGCGGCTCTTTGGGAACAGGGGTGGGGTCTGTGGGGTGGGATGGGGATTTGGGGACCATCACCCCAAAGTGGGGAGGTCACTGGCTCTGCCAGGCTGAGCCCTCCCCAGCCCTGCTCTCACCTAATCCTTATTCCCTCTCTTTCCTTGTGCTTTCCAGCAGCGAGAAGGAGCAGTGAGTATTTCCCTTGCTTTTTAAAATTTTTTTTTCCCATTTATTCCTCCTTTCCTGCTGCTTTGATGGTCTGAGAACAGGAAAAAGCTGGGTTTGGACACCAAAAAACGTAAAAAAAAATAAGTTTGGGAAGTGTTGCACTGGGTTTTAATGAACTTAAAGGTTCAAGACCATGTGTGTCTGTTCAATCCAGAAGGGAAAAGAGCCAGGAAAGGCCTTTGGATGAGCAGGAAGGTGAGGAATGTTTGCTTTCTGCATTCCCTGAGTGGCAGACGTTACCCTGTCACCAGGTTAGCGCTGCCTGACGCCCAGGCTGGGAGCGAGGAACTTTGGGAATGATGTTCGAGACAGAAACACTCCCGTGTTTGGCGAAATGTTCCCAAAAAAAAAATCCGCCCACTCCTGCGCCACCGCCCCGGTCCCGCGGCTGCCGGGCCGAGCTGGCGTTCCAGGGTGCCGGGTGAAACGTGGAAATTATGGGAATATTTCTGAAAAGGAGCTTTTTGTCCATGTGAAACCAATGTTTCCACATGAAACCCCCTAAAAATGGAGATCAGAGCTCCCAACCATGGGTGGGGGCTCAGTGCGGGCTGGATGGGGTTTGGAGRATGGGGAGACGGGGCGGGTTTGGGGTTTGGGAAGTGGTGCCCGGCCAATTCCCATTTTGTGGGAATACCCCGCGGCTGAATCCCCGCTCCCTGTGCCCGCAGGCTCCCGGCAGGCTGGGCAGCGCAGCCCGAGCGGCAGCGCAAGGGCGAGGAGCTGACGGATGAGGAGAAGGAAATCATCAACCGGGTGATCGCCCGCGCCGAGAAGATGGAGGAGATGGAGCAGGAGCGCATCGGGTACGGCGGGGACAGWGGGGACAGKGGGGACAGGGGGGGACAGAGGGACCCCGAGCCCGCCGGGGCAGCGGGAGGAGGCTCTGCTTGGCTGCTTTCCTGGGCAGCAGCCTCTGCACTGCGGTGCCGCTCCCGAAAGGAGCCTGCGGGGGATCTTTGGGCCCGGGCCAGGAGGAACCTGCGCGCAGGGGAGGGACCGGCTCCGGGTGCTGCTGGCACTCCGTGTGTCCCTGGCACTCCGTGTGTGCCACGGCGGGGATGGAGCCAGCAGTTCTGCTCTCATCCCGGTTCTTTTTTCAGCGGGAAAGGGATCTTTAAGAACAGCTCACTGCGCTGAGCCTGAGCGCTGAGTTGTTTAGTCCTGTTCTGGGAATGCACTTGGAGCGGTGAGGGATCCATTCCGGTGGTCAAACCCACCCTGGAATGAGCTGTCTGTGATGCTCAGGGCTGGCACCAGCTGCTGGTTCCTCATTTTTCACCGTGGGCAATCCCAGTGCCTGTGCAGAGGGTGGGAAGTGCCCGTGTTTCCTCTCCTTTCCTGCCTGGACAGAGGTGTCAGGTGAAACCACTCTGAGCTGTCCCCTTGCTCTGCTGGAGGTGTTTCCAGAGGAAATCTCCACAATCCCCCTGGTCAGGGATCACTCCTGTTCTCCTRAAACAGGAGCAGTTTCTTCTCGCTGGGTTTAAGCACCCACTGCTTCATTTTTAGTTTTCCTGGCAGGGAAAACATTCAGGCCCAGGCAGGAGCCACGCTCTCCACTGCTTTAGGAAATGCCAAATTCCCTTTCACAGCTCAGGGACATTYTGCTGTCCCTTAAATATTGGGTGTGTTTGCCATGGGGGTCCTTTGGCTGCAGCCTGTGCCYTCCAAAGTCGGAGATTTCTTTCGAAATAAAGTCAGAATTTAGAAAYCCATGGCTAGGAGGGGTCTGTGAACATCCTGGGCAGGTTTTCCCTTTCCAGCAGCCCTTTTCCCTGCCCCATGGATGTGCAGCTCCAGCAGACTGGAGCTGCCTCCCGGGCTTGGCATTGCCCTCCCCCGTTATTTTGGCAGCCCTCAGGTGAAAGCAGCCCGGAGCGGCGTTGATTCATTCCCGAGAAGCGCTTACAACCASCATTCCCCCGGCGCTGCCCATTCGCAGCCCGGTAAGAATTCCATTCCAGCGCTCCGCTCCCKGGATGAGCCGTAAATCATCTTTAGCAGGGTCGGGGAGGGGAGAGATTCATTACACGCAGCTGTTTCCCGACCGCAGCAACTCTTCCCTTTCCTCCTTTGCCGAGCCGGAGGAGGTTTGCTCATCCTCATTCATGAAAAGCCGGGCGGAGGGGCTGGGAAGAGCCGGGAATTCTGGCGGATGTGCGGCCGCAGCTGATTCCCCCCTCCCGTGTGGAGGCGTAGCGGGAGCCGTGCCAGCCCCTTTTGTGTGTTTGTTGGCTTTTGCACAACAAGAGCTGTAGGATGTTCAGATGTTCAGCCCCGGGAATGTGGGACAGCGGCTGGATCAGCTCTCGTACGGAATCGGCGGCTCGGATGTTATCCAGGATAGCTGCTTCTATTACAAAATAATCCGYGTTTGCCAGGCTGGCCTCTGGCAGGGAGGCGGCGGCGGTGGCTGGCCCTCCTTTCCACCTCCTGGAAAGCCTCATTTTCCTGGGATTTTCTGGGATTTTTTTTTATTCCTGTAAAAGGAAAAAAAAAAAAAATCCTTTAAAGCTCGCTCAGAAAAGATGTGGCTACCTTGGAAGGGTGCAAGGCCAGGCTGGAGCAACCTGGGATAGTGGAAGTTGTCCCTACCCATGGCACGGAATGGGATGAGCTTTAAGGTCTTTTCCAACCCAAATCATTCTATTTTTCCATGAAAACACTGCTTTTGGTCGATATAAGGAAAAGCTCACACGAAGTGAGATTCCAAAGGGGGAATATGTGGTGAATCCTTGGAATTGTCCCAATAAATGGAGGTGTTTGAGGGATTCATTTGAGCTTTACACCCAATTCTTGAGGAATCCTCAATCCCATGAACCTCCTTATGCCTCAAATCCTTCCCAATTTTTCACCCTCACCTTCCTTACCCTCCATCCCACCGGCCCCTTGTTTTGGGAACAAATCGATGCCTCTCGTCGAGCCGTTGTTTGTGGAATCGGACTCGGTGTCAAACCCAGCTCAAATTAATCCCGTGGAAGGGTATTTTTAGCTCCGAGGGCGGCTGGATCCTGMGGGATACGTGAGCTCCATGCTGATGAGGGCTGGAGGACGGGGACATCTTGTGCATGGGGGATATTTTATTTTTATTTTTTTTTTGGCCTGGCCGTTGTCTGGTGGCGCAGAGAAGGACGAGAGGAGCYGGAATCGTCCTGAACATGACACAGCAGGAGCACGTCGGGCTGGGGCTGATGGATTTTGGATTTTAGAGCTGCTGGGTGGTCAGGATCATCCTTCAGGATGAGGGATGCAGGGCTGGACACTGTCAGAAGAGCGGTTATCCATGGATCTGTTCTTGTCCCATCTCTCTGTTCTTGTGGGGTCTCTGTGGTGGCTCTGGTGGCACTCTGGTGACACTCTGGTGGCACTCTGGTGACAGTGGTGCTGCTCCAGCTGCAATCCATCGAGAATCCTGTTTTCCAGATGCCAGGGGAGCACCTGCAGGCACTAATTGACTCCGTTCTGCATCTCTAATTGGGGGCCATCAATAACCCAGCCAGGCTGCTCCGCTGYCTAATGAGCTCCAGCACGCTCCTGGCACTGAGGAGAAAATCTGAAACCATCCCAAGGTTTCAGAGAGGTTTTTCTCTCTCTCTGGAGAGCCTGGAGCTGGCTCTMCCTCAGGGAAGGTGATACTTGGATCCTGTGGCCATGACCCTTTGGTCACCTCCCAAAATGCCGTGGCTTGGCCGTGTCCCCGAGGTCACAGCCTTTGCTCCGAGAGTGGGATCGCATTTTAATTTGGCTGCTCSAGGCTGGGATGACACAGGAATAATGCTGGAGCAGATGGGAATCCCGGGGGATTAAATCATTAACCTCAGAGGCAGGGATGGAGTCTGGGGTCTTCATCCCTCTGTGTGCAGACAGCACGAAAACAAAATCAGGGCTCAGAGCAGGGCAGAGACAGGCAGGAATGTCTCCTGAGATCCCAAATCCTGACCAGGGGACAGCTTGTGCTGATGGAGATTTTGTGGGTTCCTGCATTTTTCCCCCCTATTTTAACACCAATTCCTCCACTCCTGGATTTTTTCCCCCTATTTTATCAATTGGAAGGATATTCCCTGCTCTTTGAAGTCTCACAGAGGGCTGGGCACTTGGAAATGGGGATAAAGGGGAGGAAGATGCTGCTGGAGCCTTGGAAGGCAGAGGGATGAGCTGGAGGGCTGGTTATGTGTGAGAAATGTGATAAAGAAATGATATCTAGTGGAGAAAAAAAGCTTTTGGGAAGGCAGAAAACTCATGTCTGGTGAAGTGAGTGGGAGAACAGGATGGATGTAAGGAAAATTTGGGATTTTGCCTCCCATTTATTGCCTTTACCAGCAGCTTCCCAGCCCAAGGGGCTCAGCACAATCCCCCCTTTTTCCCAGGGCTCTCCCTGCCAGGTTCACACCAGGACTTTCAATTGAACTTTTCCTACTGGGTTCTCTCCCAGCAAGGGTTTGAGTCATGGAGAAAAAAAAAACCTAAAAAAAAAGCCCAATTTCTCCTCCTTGAATGGATGTTTTAATTAGGGAAATGTGCTTGGCTTGCAAGTGGTGCCACAGGTGTGTCCTGGCTGCTGAGCTCTTCCAGCGGTTCAAAAACCCCACTTAAGGAGCAGCTCCTGGAAAATGAGCGCCTGGGAGAGATTTTTGCAGCTAAATAATGAATCTCTTGAAATGCAAAGGCTTTTTTCCTCCTCCTTTTTTTTTTTTTTTATATTTTTTTTTCTCCTCTCCCTTTGATTGTGCCATTTGTTCCAGTTTCTATAATAAGTTTGTTTGGGCTTGCAGATTTCCAACTGGAAGCTGCTTTGCTTGGAGCTCCTGCAGCTCGGCGGGAGGGATTGCAGGGGATGTGGGGTTTGGCTCCTGGGAAAAGCAAGGTTTTTCCCCCAAAATGTTCCCTGTGGCGAGGTGGGAGCGAGAGATGTTGGATGTTTTAAGTGGGTCTCAGTGGGGATCGTGCATTTCATTGATTCCATTTAAATAACACTTGGGGAASAGCCAGCTTCCAGGTTTTAATTGGAATTCAGCTGGCTGGGTGCTTATAGGATGGTGCAGCTCTGCTGAAATCTCTGGGATTTCTGTGTCTGCCACGAGCCCTGGAATTTGGGAAGGCACCGGGGGCAGGGGGTGGCTCCAGAGCTGGGAAGAAATAACCTGCGGGTGTGAAGGGCAGGGATGGACAATGGCAGCTCTCCAGTAAATCCCAGAATAATTTGGGGTGGAAGGACCTAAAAACTCTTTTTTCCATGGGCAGGGATTCCTTCCCCCAGCCCAGACTGCTCCAAGCCTTATCCCACACTGCTCCCTGAAGTGGGGAAGCACAGAATCCCCTCTGAGGATCTGAGGATGGAGTTTTTCAGCCCGAGGATGAGAACCAGGACTGCTGGATTTCCAGCCCCCGTGCTCCTGGTGCTGCTGGAGCCGTGAGGAACCCGTGAACTCTCCCATCTGCTGTCTGCTGCCACCAGAGCTGTGAAAACAGAGCCTGGTCCCTGCTGCTGGCTCTGTCTGGCTCTGCTGCTGCCCACCCTGGAGCTGCCAGGAGGGATCAGCCCCTGCTGGGGAGGAGTGGGAGATTCCTGGGTGCTTGGATAATGTCTGGAGTTAGGGATCCACATCCCCGAGTTTGGGGGTTTTGAGGAGCTCCCGTTGGCTGCAGCGAGGCCTTTGTGAGCTGGGAAGGGCTGCACATCCTGRAATGCTTTATTTTGGGGAGAAATTCCTCCCTGGGAGGGTGATGAGGCCCTGGCACAGGCTGCCCATCCCTGGAAGTGCCCAAAGCCAGGCTGGAGCACCCTGATCTAGCAGGAGATGTGCCTGCACACAGCAGAGGTGGAACTGGACCATTTTAAACCCTCCCCCCCCAGCCAAAACCATCCCATGCTCGTGCCATTTCCCTTCCTGGTGCTGCTGTTCCTTTATTTGACTTTTCCCCATGGAATTCTGGCTGCCCAACACCAACCTCCAGGGATGGTTTATGAGAATTTTGGAAGTGCTGGCAGCCGAATCACCACAAATCCGATGCCGTCACCAGATGTGTGGAAACATCTTTCCGACTCCAGGCGTTTTTTTTCAGTCGGATTTGGGTCAGGCTGCCACGGGGGGCTGCTCTCTCCGGTGGGCTCGGGTCTCCTCCTCCCTTCCTTCGTTCCTTCCTCACTCAATGGCATAAATAATGCAGCCTTTTTCCCTCGCCATGCTATTTTTAGGGCCGGCGTTCTGGGTTAGCTGAGCGCACGATGCCACTGCCAGCTCCCGGCTGCTTCACAGGCAGCTC